GATAATGTAATTTTGTTTTTTCCCTCTTTCCTCTCATCCCCAGGAACTCCAGAGAAATGAGAGTGGTCTAGTCAGAGACATTAGTATTCCAGCACGGGCTGCCTGTCATAATATTCCTAGACACCTCTCACTGTCAGGGCCACGGCAAACCTTCATTTGACTGCATGTGCACTTCTGAGTCATCAACTGCCAAAGACATTGCTTCACTTCCTCTTCTTTCTCTCACACAGCTGGTGTTTGCTTGGTTTATCTTGGCCTCTGAGTGTGGGAAGTGAGGGGCAGAATACCAGAACAGATCACTGGCCCACTGAAGAAGTCTTTGTAATTACTACCTGGTCATGGGGTATTCCAGATCTGATGGCCCTGAACATGAGAGGATACTTACATAATAGAAAATTGCCTGCCTTTGGAAGAAACAGATTCAATGGGCATTGGCATTTATTTTATTTTCATTAAAAATACTTTCTAATATAGTTCTAAATCAGAAAAGCAAATTACTATAATGCAGTGAAGACCAGAATATAGTCTTGTCTTCAATACCTGCTGCTTAATTATTAAATCCAGAGCTTTCATAGATGGGCTACTATATGTATTTTCTCACTGCCATTTCAGTAATCATTACCTCATCTCAAGCTATCTACATACTCCCTGTACTCAGGTCAGTATAGAAAACTAGGCTCCCTGGTTATTAAACAATGCATTTGATTCTAAAACTGGTCCTGCCATATCCAGCAAGAAAGCATATATTCCAATGACTGCATGGCAGGAATTTACCTGCTGATAGCCAGGTAATAATGAGGCAATGACTTGGTGTTTACCGAAAAATATAGCAAACCTACGAATTCCAGTTTTACAAAAGCTAAACCACTTGCTGTTCTCCTTTCTTACATTTTCCCCCTATGTATACATGAGAATTAAAACAGAAAATCTGATGATAGTTATGTTCTTTGTCACCATACTTACTCTTCCGAATTTTAAATATCATACTGGTACTTTTCAACAAATTTTCTCCCCACTTTCCCCAAGACAGAGTCTCTGCTTCTTTTGAACAATTATTAGTACTCCAGGGAAAAACACCCTTGGACTTCAAAAGCAAGCATCACAAAACAGAGTGATTATGAGGGTAACTAACCTTGGCTAAAACTGAAGCATGGACAGAAAAAAACTAATATTTACCTTGAAGGCAATCTCATGAAGAGAATCCATGAGATCCCAAGAGAATCATCCAGACATGCAGAGCCATGTCCCAAATAAAACATACATTACTGAGATCACTGTGATGTGCCTAGTAACACGATCTTAATTCTCACTAAACATTCTTATGGGTTAGCCAAGTCACAGCAAGGCTGGTAGTAATGAGTGACACACTCGTCCTCCCTTTAACTTAATGAGGGCAAGAGGGGAAGGGAAGGGAAGGGAAGGGAAGAGAAGGGAAGGGAAGGGAAGAGTCCACTTCTATTATCTTGACAGTGGCTAACCCCAGATATTTCAGAAAAAAAAAAGTGCAAAAAGGGGAAAAATAAAAACAGTGTATGTTTTCAGAGGACCTACTCTAAGACATTACAGTGGCTGGATTTTTCCCTGAAGCATAAAATTTTCTATCACTAATACTTTTAAATCCAATCTTCATATGAACCTCTTCCCTGAAGCATAAAATTTTCTATCACTAATATTTTTTTTTAATCCAATCCTCGTGTGAACTTGATTCCTTGCTTTTACAATATCTAGCAGCAATGAGTTCCAAAAAGTGTTTATTGTGGGGGGAAAAACATTGTTTCATTAACTTGAAACTTACCAAATTTCAATATCACTTTTTTTTTCTTTTTTTGTACTGTGAAAAAAAGCTTAAATAGGTCAGTCAATTCCTATTCTTCACATATTTTTTTTTTCTGTTCTGGATTGTTTTGAGAGCAAGAGCTTTTATTCTGGAAGAAAAAAAGATGAAACTGGATGCAGTCAATATAGATTTGATTTACTTGGGAGGGACTTCAGTAAATTTGTGGGCAGAAGGCTCATGAAATGGAAAGTTCCTGATTCTACTGAAAGGAAGAAGATGAGGAAAGTAATCACAATAAACTTTGAAAAGGAAAATGTCAGTAAACTATGGACAGGTAAGTCCCTTGGGAAAGAATTCTGAGAAGAAAAACAAAGTTTCAAAGAGCTGGCCATACATAAGACAGCCAAGATTAAAGGCATAGCAGTAAACTATCGTGAAGCATAAGCAATGCAGAACCAACATTGTTACATCTGAAATCTTTAATGCAATCAAAAAATGAAAAATGAAAAAAAAAGAAAAGGAGACAATGCTAAAGAAGGAAGGGAAGGGAAGGGAAGGGAAGGGGAGGGGAGGGAAGGGGAGGGAAGGGGAGGGAAGGGGAGGGGAGGGAAAAGAAAAAAGAAATACTACCAGTTGGAGGGGACCTACATCAATCATCTAGTCCAAGTCCCTGACCACTTCAGGGCTGACCCAAAGTTAAAGAATCTTAAGGGCATTGTCCAAATGCCTCTTAAACACTGACACACTGACAGGTTTGGGGCATCAGTCACTTCTCTAGGAAGCCTGTTCCAGTGTTGGACCACCGTCTCAGTAAAGAACCTTAACATCCTTCTTAAATGGTGGGGCCCTCTGCTGGTTTTGGATGGGATAGAGTTAATTTTCTTCATAGTAACTAGTGTGGGGCTATGTTTTGGATTTATGCTGGAAACAGCATTGATAACGCAGGGATGTTTTAGTTACTGCTGAGCAGTACTTGCACAGAGTCAAGGCCTTTTCTGCTTCTCCACCAGCGAGTGGGCTAGGGGTGCACAAGAAGTTGAGAGGGGACCCAGCTGGGACAGCTGACCCCAACTGACCAAAGGGATATCCCACACCATGTGATGTCATGCTCAGCAATAAAAGTTGGGAGAAGAAGAAGGAAGGGGGGGATGTTTGGAGTCTTCCAAAGCAACTGTTACGCATGATGGAGCCCTGCTTTCCTGGAGATGGCTGAACACCTGCCTGCCCATGGGAAGTAGGGAATTAATTCCTTGGTTTGCTTTGCTTGCATGCGCAGCTTTTGCTTTACCTATTAAACTGTCTTTATCTCAACCCACAAGTTTTTCCACTTTTACTCTTCCGA